AACTTGTGTACACCACCTCATTCTTTCAATAGAACTGCGTATTTAGGCGAAACCTCAATTTTCCTAACGTACTTTAACAAAAATACACTTAAAATAAAGTTTCGATAAACCATTCTTTTTAAACAAGTAATTTTAAAGCAAAAAATTAAATATATTTCTTTTTATTAAGAAAAAATTTTTTACATTTAATTTTTTGGAAATTATTTTATATTTTTTTTTAATTAAATTTCTTCTTATTTAAATTTAATTTAAAATTTTCGTTTTTATTTTTTATTTTTTTTTAAGAAAAACTAACTATTTTTTTTTTAGAAAAATGATTGCTCAAAAACCAGCAGAGATCTTTTAAATTGGGGGAAGAAGTGAACTTCCAAGATAAAGTTGGCAGAATTGACAATTGCCTTACAAAGGCCCTGTTTTTCGCAAGACTGTGGTTAGTTAAAAAAATTCGTTAAGCCATTTTCTACAATTAATTTTTTTAAGCAAAGCAAAATTGTATACGAATCAGAAGGGTCAGATATTAATTGAAGGAAATCGTAGATATTATTTTCTCCTTAGCGAATTTTATGTATCAACTTTGGACTTACCAAACTTGCCTTTTATTGAATATAAATATATATATTGAATATATGTATATATTGGAAACCATGTATTTTTAATTGGTCTCCTTCCTGTATCAAAATATGAGTTTTCATAAAAAGCGGACTTAGCAAATTTTCGCGCTGAGCTAGCGATATATTCAGGTAAATACATGTGTACGTATGTATGTATTAATTCATCCACACACCATATTTACTTAGGCTTTTGGTTTTCAAAACCAACACCAACACCACTTCATAGAGATAAGATTCCGAATCTCAGATGTTGATACCCTACAATCTGTCATAATTTTCAAAGTGCAGTCCTATATTCACTTAAACAACTGCACTCAATTCGATGCTTTAGTCAAGTTTTAATCGGGAATTAGGCAACATTAATTTCGCTGTATTAGAAACAAAAATAAATTTCAATTTATTCGAATAAAAGTTGAGCGGTGGCCAGAATTTTGTTGAAGAATGTTGTTGAAAATACATTTTCTTTTACTAATTTTTACAATGGCTACTATTGTGCTAGTAGTAGAAACGCGTGGAGGACGATTTCGCCACAGTTCAATAGAATCTTCCGCTTATAGCCGCAATCAAAAGAAACATGGCTCGCCAAGTACCAACAGCATACGCCGTAAAGTCGTGAATGGCTCCGCCGTCCATACGAACTTCATAAAGTCAATAACTTCGGGGCATAAAGTTGACAAAAAGTTGGCAAAATTTCGATTGCGGCATCGAAGCAGTCACAGAAGTCGAAGTAGTCATAGTAGTAGCCATAGTAGCAGTCACAGGAGCTCTAGTTGGCCTAAAAGCTCTAGCAGTCACAGCAGCTCTAGTTGGCCTAAAAGCTCTAACGACCACAGCATCTTCAGTAGCTCCAGCCGCCACCACAAGTACTCGCACACCGATACACCGCATACAAGCTACCACAGTTATGGCCAATCCCACACACAGCCGCACCGCCCCAATTCGCAGACTCACAAGAACACCTGGAATTTGCATGGATTCAGTGCAGCGGCTGACCACAATACACGTGGTGCAAATTCCCCCATATCCCACACTTGGGGCGGTCATCAGTTGCCACCAGGCCATATCTACGTTGCGCAACCTTCTGGTATTCCTTCGAGAGCGGTTTACTACGCGCAACCTCCGACGTATAGCAGTCATACAAATGGTAAGAATGAGGAAAAAATACGATTAAAAATAAAAATTCAATGCAGCTTTTTTAAATTTGTATATAAGATGCCGACAATTTTATAAATGGTTACCTTATCGGGCATAGTCTTTCCCAACAAAATCGTCATTCCCATCACCATTACTATCATCATCATTCTCAAAGTCCACAGCCAGCCGGCAGCAGTGACTTCACAGATGCGAAATCCTATTCAGAAAGCAATAAAAACCAAACTGTCGTCGATGCAAGTAAAATCAACAGCACAAATCAAACTCACTACTGGCCTACAGATGTTGAAGTACTCTTGGCTCCCTTGAACAGTTCACTACTCCCTGAGAATATCCATCCAATGCACCAAGATGCCATATTCAAGAGCCCACCAATTCATATCGCTCAGACGCTTACAGCAAATAACTTAACGTTTGAGCTACCAGCGGCCACTACAGCGTTGCCAGATGCGTCACCAGCTAATGGCATAATCTGTATGCCTTGGCTATTTAACGAAACCGATCCCACTCATCCGGAACGTATTGTAACTATTGAGAAAACAGATTGTTTCCCAGCTCCATCACCACCACCGCCGCCGACAACAACACCTCCATCATCATCATCCACGACTACAACAACAACGGAAGCTTCAGTAGATGAGTGCAGATATGTAGTCTGTCCAGGTATCCTTGACTTCTACTCATTTACACAAAATACAAATTTGTGTTGCTTTACGGACGAAAAACTATTGTCAAATATTGGACTTTTTGGATAACACGTTTTCAGACAGATTATGAAACTTTTAAGTATCTAAAGGTAGTAGTATATTTCGAGTAGTTGAAAAACTTGAATTTATATTTTTTTTAATATTCGTACTTAAGATTGTCGCTAATTAGAATATGAGAATTGCTGGATTTGGAATCATATGCAGATTTATTTCAAAAATACGCCAAATTTACACTTTCAGGATTATAAACCGATCAAAAAAATTAATTAAAAAAGTTTCATTTTCTTTGTTTTGGAATATATAAAATACGTATAATGGAGAATTTTCGAAAAATTGGTGAAATTAGGAAGTGCTACGGAAAAGTACGGAAATATCACGATAAAATCAAAAAAATACTGAAAATCATTAAAACTCGCAAATTCTCAAACCGTGGCAGGAGAAAACAAAAAAGTTGAGCCGAAGAATACTGAAATCTAAAAAAAAATTCTAGAAAGTACCGAAAAATAAAACACATAAGATCCGAAATGTCTCGAGAAACACGACGAATAACGAGAAAACACATAGTCTTACAAAGTTCCGAAAGAAAAAAAAATAAATCGGAATAATTAAACAAATATACCTACAAATATAATTCAGAAATTACATATACAGTCAGCGTCAAAAATATGAACACACTGAAGTTTTGACGATTTTCTTCATATTTATTTTCTATACAATTTTTTTTTTTTTTATAAAAATATAACTCATTCTACAGCAAAAACCAGCGGAACCGATTTTTTCAATATCATATAGAACTCGGGAAATAATTACCAAATACAAATTTTCAACTTTTCAATTCGATTTCTTAGAAAGTACGCAGTTTTGTAGCCCATTAAAGTTTAGTATAATAAAGTGAAAGTTTTAAGTCTCTAAAAATTACCGTTGATTTATGAGATTTTTTTTGTTAAGGGTGTTTCGCATTTTCCTAAAAATAACGCGTGAACAACATCTATTTTTATATGGAGAAAATGCCATGGTTGCCAACTTGGTGCTTTAAGCACTAGATTTAGTACTTTTTGAAAATTAAAACACCAAAAAAAATTATTTAGTGCCTTTTTTAGTGCTTTTTTTCTGAACTAAAATTGCTCCGAGATAGTAAAAAACGTGGAGTATTTAAATCTGTGGCAGCACTGAATTTACCAGAAGCTAAAAATTTAAATGCACAAAAATACAACCATGATTGATAAAAAGCTGAAGTTGCGAACCCACCTTGTTGAATTGCATTCGCGTTGAAAATGCTTGTACGCAGGTAAGTTAAGTATTTCTTTTTTTCTTATCTAATTATTTGTACAAATTTTGATTTTTTTTTCTTCCTTTTTTACCTGAGTATGGCAACCCTCTTCAAGCACCTCAAAAAATTCTACATATTCAAAATAAATATGTCTAAACACTCTCCAGTTTGACACATAACTTGTGAATAATTTAATGAAATTTGAAACAGGTGGCAACCTTTTAAAAAATATTTTCAAACTTCAAACGTATTAAACGTCTGGCATCCTTAACACCCATATTGCGGTATATATATTCCAATTACATAACTCTCTTAATTCAAGTAATATTTGAATTTTCAAATAGGGCGCAACCCTCGAACATATTTACTCCAGCTATAGAGGAAGTCGATATTTTGCATACTTTCCAGAAACCTTTAAAACAATATTAACTGGCACTCAAACTCATAAAAAGTAATGACGGCTTCAAATGCTTTTTAATAGAAATTTTGTATGGAAATATTTTTAAAACTATTTTATTTTTTATAAATGGGGTCATACGAGTTTTGGAAGGGAGCAACAACCCAAAAATACTCTTGACGCCCAGTCAAGCACGCCGCGTATCTGCTAGTGTAATATCTACAGATTCTCGTATATATGTCAGATTTTCCAAGACAATTTTCCACATTTAATTTTCGTAATGCAATTTATTTATTACTATGGTGAAAATTAAGTTATGGGCTTTATGTGATTTGAAGGACTTTACAATTTATTCCTACCCACCGGGTAGTCGTAATGAGCAACACACAAACGTGACCTGACGACTTCTTAGCGTTACAAAACCTTGCTGACGTTCGTCCAAAAACACATTTGCCGGACATGTGCTATGTTATCTGTCATTTGTCAGCCTGATATGTAAATTGAGTTATTAACTTATTGTAGCATTTCCACCGGGCACAGATACTCATCTAATTCCATAAAATTTGCGCCAAGTGACAACAAAGATAAAGAGATTTAGCTTCATAGCTCACATATGTAGGTATGTAAGTATGTCCATACATTCATATGCGTGTCACATTTACAGCTTTAAATTAGTTTACGCTCTTGTTGTTCAAAAACAATAATAACTTTTAGATTGTTCTTAATAGATATAATGTGCCTTGCGAGTTCAAGATGTCAACGCGCTACACACAGTCGTTGATTTTTGAAAAAAAGCTAGTAAAAATAATGAACCAGCTGTAGCTCAAATTCTTCAGTATACGATTTCAGTTTTATCATTTCTTCAATCAAGTAATCACTGTAGTCAAGCTTGAAGCGTCGCTCTGTTAGGTACACAGCAGCGGCAGATGGACAATTTTACTTTTGCTGCATTCAAACAAAAGGAAATTCCTATTTATTTAAATAGAGAAAGTGAATGAAAATGTCGCTTAAAATAATTTGGCTTCTTGTAATTTTTGCACTAGCCACTATGGTGCTAGCGGCAGAAGCGCGCGGAGGCCGAGGACGCGGTGGTTCATTCGGCACTACATTTTATAGACGCAGTCATAAGAAGCACAGCTCCTCAAGTGGGACTAGCTCACGCCGTAAAGTCGTCAGTGGCTCACCAGTACATACCTCATACACGAAGGCACTGATTTCTGGTCACAACACCGATCTTAAGTTGGGAAACAGTCACAAAAGTCTTAGTAGTCACAGTAGCAGCAGCAGCAGTCACAATAGACACCCATACCGGGATGCATCGCATACAAACTATCACAGCTTTAGTCAATTTTACACACAGCCTCGCTCGAGTAGATACGGTTCGAGTGCAACTCACTATAATACGCTGGGTGCCAATTCTCACATATCGCACGCATGCCACCCAATTCGGTTTACTATGCACAACCTCCGCGGTATCGGAGCAGCGCTGATGGTAAATATGAACAGAAAAAAATTTAAAACAAACACTCATTAAATTTCTTCCTTTCAAATTCAATTAAAGATGCAGCGGACTTCGTACTAGGCTACCTTGTTGGTCGAAGTCTTACACACCGTAATCATCATCAGCATTACTATCAGCACTATCAGGAGCAACAACCCACCAACGGTCAAACTATAAACACAAAAGTGAACTTAGAAAACAATACGGCCGCCACAAGTCACTTTGTTACAAATAAAAACAACAACAACACAACAAATCAGACTCACTACTGGCCGACAGACTTTGCTGTGTCATTGGCGCCTTTGAACGAATCTCTGCTTGCGGAAGACATTACCTCATCACCCCGGGAAGCCATATTCAAGAGCCCACCAATTCACATCGCTCGTTCACTTAAAGTGGATAACTTAACATTTGAACTGCCAACAGCCACTGCAGCGCCGCCAGATATGCCACCCACAGGTGGCATAATCTGCATGCCTTGGCTATTTAATGAAACCGATCCCATTCATCCGGCGAATGTTGTCACAATTGAGAAGACAATTTGCTTCCCAGCACCATCACCGCCGCTGTCAGCACCACAAACTACACCGCAATCGTCCACGGATCCGATCGCTGGAGATATTGCAGTTCGAATCCTACAATAACAACAACTTAAATTACGGCAGCGAGTTTTGGAGAATGTTCATGGTTTTCAACTCTATAAAGTAGTTTTCCACATTTTTAAATTACTTATTAACTTTTGGACAATTTGTATTTCCTTGCTGAGTGCAAACATATATTAAAATCAAACTTCGAAAATGTACTTCCTGGTGCTTGAGTTATATTTGTATATAAGAACAGCTATAGATTGGCGCTTACCTTGATATTGCCACACAAAGCGGACCTAGTTTTACGCCGACTGCCTACGTCGATTGTATTTTTATGAGAAACTGTTTTTTTATGGCAGAATACACTCGGAGGTTTGCCATTGCCTACCGAGGGGCGACCTATTAGAAAATTTTTAATTTTTTTGATTTTGGGTTGAACCCAGGCCCTGCGGAATGGTAGCGCGCACTGCTAACCACTACACCACAACCAAGTCATAATATATAGAAGCGCTCATCGCAAAGTCTTTCGAGCTTAGGGCACATACCCATAACTCTGTCAAATACTTCAGAGCAGCT